TTGATGATGCATGGAGGGGATTGTAACCATGGCAATGAAACCATATATGATAGGATGAATGTAAAACTAATGTTCTCCCATATAAACTATCACATAATTCACAATAAAACATTAAAAAAAAGATAATGGAATTTTTTAATGAGCTTTTTGAGGCCACCTGGTCAGAGAGGATTGTTTTCCTCTACCTTGACTAGTATAATCATAAGTTTTGCTATTCTGATGAGTAAACATGGAATGTCTTTTCAATTGGTGGTTTTCTTAACTATTAGTGGCATTGAGAATCTTTTCACATGTTTCTTGACCATTTGTTAATTTTCTTTCAAAAGTTGCCTATTTCTATATATGAGGAGCCTTTAAAATTCATGGGAAGTGGAATTAAAGATTAATGGGATTTTCCCTTGAGCTTTTAAATTTTTTTTAATTTTGTAAAAGTTTTTTGTGTGAATTGAGTGAAAGTTTACAGGGCAGAGCATCAGTTTTACATTCAACAAATCATATACCTTGTTTCATTACAATGATTATGATCCCCTCCATGTACCATCAGTTAACAGTATTTCTCCCTATTCACGTTAGCTTTTTTTTTTTTAAACACTCAGGCGTATATAATAATTTACACCACCAAAGGGCACATTCTGCAAGTCTGCCTCCTGGCCGCCATCTCTTTTCTTAGTCCCTGACTTCTCATGAATCTAGAGTCCTCAGCTGCTCCCTCTCTCCATGTCCCCATCTCTGCCTTTATCTCTGGTGTTGCTTTTTCTCTGGATAAGATCTCGTATTCCACTTGTGCTCTCTTCTCCCTGATGATCCTAGAGTCCTTTGTTTCTAGACTATAAGATTAACTACTCCCCTGTTTTTGTTACAAAATTTTTACCTTTACAATTGTGACTGTCGCATGATAACAATTACTCTCTGTTGATTCATAAGAATCTTATCCCCACCTCTTTTCACCAGACCCATATAGACAAGATGAAAACTATTCAATGGGGGCTCTGTTCTTCCACACACTCTGAAACTAAACTCCATCCTGAAACCTTGTATTTCCTTGAATTTTTGAAGCTCCCTCATATTGTTCATTTTTCTATTGGGTTGATTTTCTTTTTCTTAATAATTTGTAAAAAAAAAAAAAATTTGTTGTCATCATTGTTAAATATTTAGGGCATTAACAATTAGAGTTTTTATGGTAGACAGATCAGGGTTGAGAGCCTTGTAAGGCTGGCTGGTGGCCTTGTTCTCCCTGAGGGCCTGCCTGCTTCTTCCTCTGTCCATTGTTATATAGCCTACAATATTTCAGGGCATGCTGGGGGACAGAGTTGAACTTGGAGGTCAGCCCATACCATGACTGCTAGTTGCTGGGTCTCCACTGCAGGGAGGAGAATATGAAGGGTGAGGGTAGGAGGGGACCTGCAGTGGTCATTCCAGATTAAGGAGAGAGCTTAATGGACTGGATTGGAGAGAGCAGGGGGAGCATTCTATAGGCGTGGAGTTTGAAAAGAAAAAGTGAGATGCAGGGACGGACTGGAGGCTCTTCAGAAAGTAGGTGTTAAGTCCATACCTGATCAGTCCAAGAAAACAGAGACCTAAAGAGTTCAGGCAACTCTACCGTAAATACCCAGTTTACAGATAAGTAACTTGAAAGAAGCGAAGTAGCTTTGAAATAAGATTTAAATTATTATTCATACTCTCAGAGAAATAAAAGAAGATATTATAGTTGTAAGGTGAGAATTATATGCCATTTTAAAATGGAGAATTTAGTGAACAACAACAAAAACAAAAATTCTTAGAAATAAAAATGTAACAGAAATGAAAAACAGTAGCATGTAAAAAAACAATATGGAAGATAAAATTGGAGAAATGTTCCCGATAATAAAGCAAAATAGACAAAGATACAAAATGAAAGAGAAAATATTAGAATAGTAGAGTACTAATCTAGGGTGTCCAACATCTGAATAACTGTAGAAAATGCAGAAGTGAGCATAACTAAATATTAAACTATGGTTTTCAAAAACTATGGTTTTCAAAATCTAAAGGTTATAAGTTTTCACATTAAAAGAGTCCATTAAAATCCAGACAAATAAATGTGTAGTAAAACTGACAGTAATGTTCATCACTATGAAATTTTAGAACATTGGATTCATAGATAAAAAGAAGAATATATTTATTTTCTGAAAACTATCAAGAATTAAGCACCGTTATATTTTTCTGTATCAGTAATGGAAGGGAGAAGAAAGTTAGCAAAGATTTTAAAGTTCCAGCATAAAATGATATTGCCAACCATGAATATACTAAGACAAGCTATCAGTGAAGTGCGAGGGTAAAATGATCATTTTCAGATGTGAGTGTAGTTGAAAATTTTGTCTATCTTTTGTATACTTTGTCTGGAAGCCATTCCAGGATTCCCTTTACCCAAAGTCAGGGAATAAACCAGCAAAGAGAAGACAGAGAAATGGGTAACAGAGTTCACCAAGGAGAGAGGTGAAGGAAATCCCCAGGACAATGTTAAAGAAGAAACAGGATGGTAATTATGCAGCAAGCTAGGAGAACAACCAATTAGTACAGATTGCAGCAAGTCAGGAGACTCCAGGAGAAATTGCCTCAAGAAGATGAAATTGATGATAGAATCCCTAATGTATTTGTGTAGATAAGATGGGAGGAAGCTAAGCAAAGGAAAAAAGAAAAGACTGTTACCAGTACTAGAAAAGCAAATTGTTATGAAGTGGATTTAATAAAAAGGGAGTCACACCTCAGCTACATACCATTTCCATGATCCTAATGATATAGACACTGAATGGTGACCTAATTAATAGAAAACAAACAAAACAAAAAATGCACAACTCTATCTTTAAGTGATTCTGATGTAGCCAAGTCCATTCCAATATCAGCATCCCCAAATAGTGGTCTATTCCAGCCTCCTCCTCTTCCTCCACTAATTTCATATAAAAGAAAGATCTGGGTCAGTGAGTTAAGAAAATTTGTCCAGTGTACTTTGTTGTAAACTGCATGATTAACACATTGTTGTTGCTAAGTGCCATAGAGTCAGTTCCAACT